CACCCTCTGTTTTGGAAGTGGAAGCACTTGTAACAGCACCTCCAGCTCTGCCACCACTAATCGATGTATACGCCCTGCAAGAAAAGAACAAGTCGTGCCCTGATATTATCTGAAGACAATCTACTATGAACATAAAAGAGCATATGTTTGTCTCAGAATGCGCATCCAAAAAGAGAGCGATGTGAAGAGTGCTAACAGTAATGCCTTTTACTTCCTGGTCGGCTGCCCTGCAAGCACTTCCAAATTTGGGCAAGCTTGCAGTCGTCTGTGCACATCATCCCACTGTGAACCCTGAAAAAAAACAAGTGGCCTTAAAGTAAGGGTTAAGTTTGGTTCAGTTTAAGTTTGAATTTGGTTTTGTGTTAGTATTTAGATTTGGAAATGGTTAGGGTTTATTATTAGGGCGTACCCCGCCTACTGCCCTGGGACAGCTGGGATAGGCTCCAGCACCCCCCGCGACCCTTGTGAGGATAAAGCGGATCGGAAAATGGATGTTCGAGTCGTCCAAGTACTTTGGAAATTCCAGCTTGATGACATCATCCAATTTCTGTGTAAATTTTGATTTCTTACTTGAATCGATCCCTTGGCGCCGTCAAAGTTTAGAAGACAACAGCGATGGGGAAAGCGCACATGGCCATCCTCTTTCATCAGCACAACCAGAGACTCATCCGCTCCCTGTGAGGAACAAAATGATAATCATGGATATGGCTGGTTAGCATTTGGCTCATGCAACACTGAGCAAACATGTTTCAGTTCTAAGTGAAATAAGCTCTAAACTCGGAGAAAAGATGACAGGATGAATCTGATTTCACACCTTCATCATTTGTCGATGATTAAATGGTGGAACGCGACGGTTGGCAAAAGATAAGGAAATCACAGTTATAATGTGACAGTCTTCCATGGAAGGTTATCTGGCTGCAAGGCGAGCAGGTCCACATTACCTGTCAGTCCGCCGTATTACTGTGCTTCCCGGGGGAGGGATTTGGATTAGACTGACATTTTAAAAGATAACTCAGGGCTTTTCCATGTGAAGAATGCCTCCCTTGGTTTACTTAACTTAATTTTTTTTAGTTTGGAGAGCGAGGGGGTTGCAATTCAGTCGGGTACTTTAGTCGATTTATCCGCGATCTGCACTTTTTAATTTTACTACCTCCGTTTGAAATCATTTTCACTGGTCGCTGTGTTGTCTACTCCTTTGTCAAAATAGGTTTCTTACTCTTTTCAATTTCTGCGGATGACGACGCAAAATAAAAAACATGTAAATCGAAGTTAAGTCAACTACAAAGAGGGTTTGGGGTAGCACCGCCAACCGAGTCAGACAAAAAAATACGCTCCTCTCACCATACACGAGCGCCATTCTCAAACATGCCCATTTATAATTGCATGCAATTATTAAAGTGGGCAGCTGTGATGAATAGTCACAGAGAATGCTGCCCATTGCTTCAACAAAATGGCAGCACTAGCAATGCTAAGATATCATTAGTGCTGTACACAAGCCTACATTTGCTTCCCACTCCGTTCACAATGCCAGTAAATTCCAGGAGTGCAATCATACTTCTACTTTGACCAGAATGTTTCTTTACACATGTACTATATTTTTATTTTGTATAGTATGTGAGTACTCTCTCCACCTCTGCAACTCGTGAGGAAGTTTGTTTAGCATGAGACGCCAATGACAAGCAGCTTTTGGTCACTGATCTACAGTAGGTGGTTAATGACACTAATCCCAAGTTGCCGACTCATACCCCAGTCGAGCAACATCCCCGCGGCCTGGATGGATTCCAGCCTCTCACCGTTGAGCATCATCAGGACAAACTGCAGGCAGTACACAGCGATGTCCAGCAGGGCGCATCCACTGAGCGTGGAATGTTGATCTGGGGGGGAACCAAAGTAGGTCCTGACTAGAGTGGCCTCCCTCACGGCCCCCTTCAAACAGTCTCCGTCCACCTTGGAAGCAGCGGGACCAGAGGGCCTGAGAGGGAGAGGGTAGCTTTGTGATTACCACCGCTCGTCACTTACTCTGTGACACTTTTGACACAATCCCATGTTTTCTTTACATACTTGTGACATAAAGACCATCCACACATGAAACGGTTGAACTGTGTTGTTGCATTTACAGATTTACAGATCCTGTAGGCCAGGAGTGTCAAACTCATTTTTGTAGGGCGCCACATTGTAGCGGTAGTTACGGTTTCTCTGAGCGGGCCATTATGACTGTGAATTTTGTGAAACCGTATAAATGTTTGATCACCTCCACATATTACATATACAGTGCACAACAAATTGGTGGATAGCTCGTTTTGAAATCAGAACTGGTTAGTGCAGCCACTGTTTACATTAATGTAATAAGTATGTAATGAGATAATGCTTGCAATATCTCTTTGTAATGATGGATTACATATGACAATTTTAAATTTCGGTTCAGACTTTAGCAAGCATCATGGAAAAGTTGACATGCTTGATTTGAACCAAAGTAGGTCCTGACTAGAGTGGCCTCCCTCACGGCCCCCTTCAAACAGTCTCCGTCCACCTTGGAAGCAGCAGGACCAGAGGGCCTGAGAGGGAGAGGGTAGCTTTATGATTACCACCGCTCGTCACTTACTCTATGACACAATCCTATGTTTTCTTTACATACTTGTGACATAAAGACCGTCCACACATGAAACGGTTGAACTGTGTTGTTGCATTTACAGATTTACAGATCCTGTAGGCCAGGAGTGTCAAACTCATTTTTGTAGGGCGCCACATTGTAGCGGTAGTTACGGTTTCTCTGAGCGGGCCATTATGACTGTGAATTTTGTGAAACCGTATAAATGTTTGATCACCTCCACATATTACATATACAGTGCACAACAAATTGGTGGATAGCTCGTTTTGAAATCAGAACTGGTTAGTGCAGCCACTGTTTACATTAATGTAATAAGTATGTAATGAGATAATGCTTGCAATATCTCTTTGTAATGATGGATTACATATGACAATTTTAAATTTAGGTTCAGACTTTAGCAAGCATCATGGAAAAGTTGACATGCTTGATTTGCTCTCGCGGGCCACACAAAATGATATGGCGGGCCATATCTGGCCCCAGGGCCATGTGTTTGACACTTGTGCTGTAGGCACTCAGCTTTTCACACGATCAGGATTTTGGAGCCGGTCACCCTTCAGTGACTTAGGAAAAGAAAAAACTAGTCTAGTATACGCTCACTGGACACCTCTTCCCATTAAATAAGAGACGGCGTCTGTTGATGTCATGGGAGGTCATTTGTCATGAGAGGTCATTTGTGGGCGCTACCCCCGAATGAGTTACTGCGCCACTCTGGCACCACTCCTTGCAGTTTGTCCTTTTGAGGCCAAACTTTACATATAAACTATATTTTTTTAACTATGGGTAAAACTGACGCCTGCCCTTTTCACACCATATGCGCCATAAATTAAATAAAAGGCACAGTTGATTCAGATGCTAACCCAAAAACATGAAATGAAGCGGAAGGATGCTGTCACATAGAGAAAAGTATCTACACTTGTTTACAAGGTTTCTATAGCTAAGCCCTGTGTTTTATTTACTAAATGCTCACCATGGCAATCCTGTTTAGAACGCCTAATGTTGTGTTTATTAGGGAATGAAAATGTGCCGATACAGCCAACCGGCAAGGATTATATTGATAGGGGATTAGTGTTAGTGGGGATTATAACCAGGCTTTAATGTGTAAAAAGTAAAGGTAGTTTTGCAGCTAACACTTGATTAAAGACAAAGACCTATGGTGTTCAATGAGGAAAGAATTGAGAGGCGTTTACACTTAGACGAGCCTGCAATTGGCTGGCAACCGGTTCAGGGTGTACCCCACCTCTCGCCCAATGACAGCTGGGATAGGCTCCATCTCCCCCCGCGACCCGAGTGAGGATAAAGCGGTTCGGAAAATGAATGGATACTCTTAGATAAGTGACAATCCTAAACACGTCGTGCCAATGAAATAGCCCAGCGTGTGTAAACATGAATGATGAGCAGTCGATAATGTTCCCACAATCACCCTTGGCCCACCAACTGCCATCAAGAAGACCTTGTTTTTCCTGGCGGCGTTCACAAGGTCTTTGACCCGACCAAAGTTCATGGCAAAAGGTTCCTCGCACAGATCGTTCTTGTCTGCGTTGAGAATGAGGAGGTCCAAGCTCCAGTGTTATGGGTGCTGCACTGCCACGTCTGTATTAACAGGGATTGTATGGAAATTTAGTTGCACATCATCGCAAAATATCCGTTAATGCCAATGATAACATTTTGCATAACATTTGTATATCTCATTGTCAGAAAAGTGATTTTTTTTTCTCAACCTTACAACAAACATTCAGTTGTCCACATACTGCACACAAGTGTTCTGGACTGGTCACCAGTGAGTCAATGACATCATGTTACATTAGCGTTGACCATGCAACTCACTTTTTAACATTCTTAACTGTAACTCCTGCTAACTCAAAAACGATTTACCTTTTACAACACTCACCAACTTTTGGGTCGTTGGCCAGCTCTTCGTAAGCTACCTCAAGGACGCCGTGCCTCTCGGCGAAGTCTTGGGCCCGCTCCAAACTCCTCGATGCAAGACAAATGAGAGGCCCCGTAAGGTGAGTGAGGATGCAGCGAGCTTTTGGTTTTGTAAACCCCGTGATCCTGAAGTGGATGTGTCCTCAGAGGCACGTTGAAGTCGTGACTGATCTTTCCGGCACCGCAGAGTCCCCATCAGGTCGCCATGCTGGAGGCCGATGCAGTCTTGCTACTGTTGAGGTGTGACCTTGGCGCGAAGAACCGCCGCGCTTCAGAGCCTGCATGTATTTATACGTCGGAGAGGTCGTGCTTGTGTCACCTTCATCACCAAAACACATGCTGATGAGTTATCCTTTTATCACTGACACGGGTCTTTTTCCATTAGATGATTTTGTATCTGTAAAAAGTGACACACTAGTGAGGGCCGGGGAGGAGGGGGGACGGCACAGTTCAGGTCAATCCAAAGTTCTGTTTGATCAAAGAAGCAAATAATTATACTGTTGTATCACTCAGGGTTGAGCAAGGTTAGGAAAGCTGAGGCAGAATGACTGTGAAAAAAAGGAATCATCAGCTGAGCTCATTTGCCCTTGAGCTAAATGTTACCTTCTTTTTGTGGGAAACATGCTACCACATGGCGTCAGAAGGGGGCACTGTTTTATAAACGATCTTAAATGGACTGATGTTTTTGGCATTTTTAAAAATGTAAATGATTTTTCATCAAAATGTGGATCTTCATGTAAATCTTTTCTCAGTTCTCTATGAAAATGTAAAAAAAAAGTGTTGGAAAAAACAACAACAGTAAAACAAGTTAAACAACATCCAGTTTTATGAAGAAAAAAAAAACCCCTATGAATTACCGTATGTAAAAATAGATATTTTTGTAATCGTAAGGTTAAGACAAAAAAATATTCACCTTTTCGATAGGAATTGATGAGATAAATTGAAAACAGAAAAGTAGAAGCGAGGACAAGCTTTTTTCAATTGGGTGATGGATAATTCTCTGAAATATGTAATTTTTGAATGAAGAGCTAAACTGATCCTAAATTTTTATTTGTCCAATGCGTTCTGAGGATGAACAATGACTCCACTTGTTGGCTACTTTATACACACACACACACACACACACACACACACACATTTATATATATAGTAAATGTGTGTGAGTGTGTGTGTGCGTGTGCGTGTGCGTGTGTGTGTGTGTGTGTGTGTGCGTGTGTGTGTGTGTGTGTGTGTGTGTGTGTGTGTGTGTGTGTGTGTAATCAGGGCCATGCAGTGACATCACCACAGGTATTGGAAAAAGAGGTGAGCTGAGTGTGAGCGAGAAAGTGTAACCTGACACGGCAACCGGGTTTTAAATTGGTGTAAAGCGACCAGTCAGTTCTATGCCGCCAGCCAACAGGCTCAGGTGGCTGGAGACCCCCACGGAGACCCCCCAATTTGAAACTCTGTGGCAGGCAGCCTTTCCCCACTTTTCTTGAGTCGACGCTCATCTAGTGAACAGGCGTATAACCCGATCAGACCCTGACTTTCAACTGATCCATCTGCCGTAGGAAGTCTCATTAATTCAACGGCCAGGGCGGTGGCCCGCCACCGATGTCACGTCTCCCTGCTTTAATTTTTTTTTTTTTTTAATTAAGAATTCATGCATCATCTCCGCAGGGACACATTTGAATGACATCTCATGGACTCAGCAGATTGTCTTAAAGAAATTGTTGGGAAGACTGTGACGTCGAATTAACCAGCCTCAAATTTAACTTTTGGAATCACTCCTCATCAACTATGTAATATCCGATGTTCTGATCTCAAATATGTAGTGAATAGGGTTGATCGATATGACCTTAAAGGGGAAGTCAACCCAAACATTTTTGTTTCCAATAGTAATGTTGATGCAGCGGAATGTGGAAGAAAAGTGGAGTACCCGGAGAAAACTCAGGCACAGGGAGAACATGTAAACTGGGGCCCAGAATCGAATCCATGACCTTTGAACTGTGAGGCGATCGTGCGAACCAGTCAACCTGTGTGCCAGCGGTATGGTCTTAGATATGATAGATTTAAAAAAATAATCATAATAATTTATTATAACAATAATATTGTTATGTAATTTTGAGAACATTTACTGTGCAGATCTCAAAAGTCGAAATCAAAACTCAGGGCTGTATTGTGAAAATAGGAAAGCTATTTCACACACATAAATTATATAATATATACATGGTACTTTTTATCTTCTCGGCCACTTCTCTTAGCTGATGTATGCCGTGGCGTACGGTAATTCATTTCCAACTTCTGTTTTCAGCCCTGTTAGCTGTGTAGTGTAATGAATAGCACACTTTTGCCTGCTATTTTGCCCTTCAAAGTTGTATCGGCTCTGCTTGAACATCCAGCCAGACACCTTTGAAAAGTGTACTTGATCACCCAAGCGCTTAATTCTGGTGTTTCATGATTACATGTCAATCCTCGGTTAGCTTAGCAATAAGCATGGCTTTTCCATCTTCTGTTGACTACTATTCATCATCCCTTTGTGAGAATGATACTTTGTACAGTACTGATTTAGGAGTGACTCTGCACTCTTTAGCCGTAGAAGTGCGTTGCTAGCTAGCTGGTGCAGCGTAAGTAGCATCAAGCCTGCCTTGACTATTTGTGTGTAAGTCGCGTAAGCAAGTTAGTGTGCGTTTGTCCAGCTCAGCGAAATCCGAATTCCTGTTAGCATCAGACTAGATATGGACGAATACAAAATATAACAGGTGTTTCCCCAGAGACTGGAAACTATTAGAGTTTACTCTCCCTGTCCTTGGCTATGTTATTTGAAAATCCAATATATTCGGATGTGCCCGCAACAAGGGGATTTATTGATATTTTTCACACACTTCCTTTGAATGAGATTGCACACAGATAGTAGCAGATGCACTGTAGCTAAACAAGTTACCATTTAACAGCTCTGTATTTCATCAGCATACTTGATGTTAATGTGAAATAAAAAGGACCGGAGAGAGGCGGTCTAATCTCGCTTTGATTAATGCCGACATGTGGAAGGTTCTTCCCCGCTCCTTCCCAGCTGTCACGGGAGGTACGCTGTGTATTTTTTAAATTTTTTTTTGGGGGGGGGGTGAAGGGGGTGTGCATTGCAGCAGCAGTGGGAGCAACTCCTTCATTTCAAGGTCACTGCAGGAGAAGGGTGACAGGCCTCAGCGGGGATGAGTCCGGGAGTCAGTCATTTATTTCCAATGCTACAGTGTGTCGTGCCAGTATTATTATTATTTTTTTCTCCATGAGTAAAAGTGTGATTGAGGATCGAGCGAACCTTTTTAGCTGCAAACCATTGTGGCACCGCGCGGCCCCTTTGAGAGTCACTATCTCTGTCTGCAGCACACACACACTGGGAGGCTGATCTGTGGAGCAAGAGCAGACTGGACTGGAGCTTACTTAGCTGAAGCCCTTCATCTGAGCCCGCCTGTGCTGATGATGGGAAGGGGGATGAATCGAAGGAAGGCACACGCAGCCCTTACATGGAGTTATCACTCTTCATTCTCTCTTTCCGTGTTCCTCCAATTCCACATTGGCCACAGAATGATGAGTCCGAATGATCATGTCCCTGCAAGCCCTCAGAGCTGGATGCTTGAATGAAACTTATACAGCGGACTAAAGCAGAACGGAAACACAATGCATTCCAAGCAGCTACGCGACCTTTAATCGGTGCCGATTTAGAATAATTGACAGTGTCCACTGATCTTGGAGCGTTACATTGTGTCGTCAATGGGTTGCAAAACAGTTACGGAGAGGCTGAAAGAGTCACAGAAAGGCATGAAGTGGACAGCCTTCGAAATGTATCGGTCGCCGAATGGATCAAACACCTGTTGTCAGTTTTGCCGCTCATCATATTTTTTGAGAAAAGAATGTTGTGCTCAAAAGACAGAAACATTGAACAGTTTGACAAATGTATTTGTAGAACCTGAAATAGTACATTTTCTTTGAAATAATATTGCATATGATTGATGACATGTATTCACATTTGGTTTGTTAGAGGATGTGATATTGTACACTAAAACAGAGGGCAGCGTTTTTTTGTTTGAAAGGACTTTTCGCCAAGTGGATTGTCATCACTGCCTGGCAGCCTGACGATGTCTCTGTAAAAAAAAAAAAAAAAATCTACATTTAAGTACCAAACAGTTAGCATTTTTATCCCTAAGCATCCCTCCGACGACCTCATCTTTATATCTGTGATGAAAAAGCTCTTTTTTGTTCTGATGCAACACTTGCAACGTCTCGCTGGGGCGACTCGTAATTTGTATTCATAAAAGCTAATGATTTGTTGCTCTCGCTAACGGCCAAAATACAAGGAGCTGCCTTTTATTAATGAGTGTTTTTTATGATTCCAAATTCACTCAGACGTATTTTCACGCCGCCGCGATCTGACGGAGCATGAACGGCGCTTTTAATGAACAACAAATAAAGCCTTGTACGGCAGTTTATTGCCATTTGAGTGCTCACCGAGTTATCGCATCCATCAGTGCAGTTGGCGTGAGACTCCATTAGCTGCGGCATGAATCTGAACGCTCACTTTGGGATGGCGCCACCTTGTCATTATTTGATACCGAGTCCATCTTGGAGCCCCTGTTGAAGTGAGAGGCAAGATAACAATTGTGCTCGCTGAGGATGATAGGATCCATCGAAGTCTTAGAGGGGGGCCCTCAATGTGCACTATCACCTTTGTGCGCGTTTTGAGAAGAAGCAGCATTCGGGTTCGAGTATCTGCAGTGTTGATTAAGGGGTTAGTAGGTTAGGGTTTGAGGATTATTGAGTTAGTTTTATGGTAAGAATCAGGGTTAGGGTTTGGTGATTTATAGATCGTCTTTAGGGTTAGGGTAGGATTGGGAGTAAGATCGAGGCCCACATGTTAAAAATTTTGACAAAAAAGAAAAACTGTTTGCGATCAATAAAATTGTGGGCGAATGTCTGGCGAATGTCTTTGCAACCTTAAATGAACCCGGGTGAAAAATGAACATTCACTACACTCGCAAACACCTGCGTACCGTCAACCCTCAGTGAGAAATGTGTTTCGGAGTGAGGGGTTACATCAGAGAAACAAGAAGTTAGCTGTGTTTGTTCTGAGGTTGAGGGGTTTGAATTTGGGCTCCGGCTTTGAGGAGGTTCAGTTGGTGTCAACAGGAACCACAACACACGCCATTTTTTTTACATTAGTGTGTGCGTGAGTGCAGTGACCTATCCCTGTCCTGAAAACACAACACACATATTTCACTTCCTGGTTCTCCAACAATCCGCAGCCTCAATAATCTATCGTGAATTCCAACGAAGTGCTTGAGTTCTGACTCCTTGCCGATTGCATATAAAAGGTGAGGATGATGATGATG